CTGAAATTGAAAATGTAATTAAGTCCTTACCCACCAAGAAGAGCCCAGGCCCAGATGGATTCACTGCAGAGTTCTACAAGAAATACAAAGAAGACCTAATGCCGACACTCCTCAAACTGTTCAATGAAATTGAAAGGGAAGCAATCCTTCCTAAGTCGTTCCTGGAAGCAAATATTACTCTAGTACCAAAACCTGAGAAAGACCCAACTAAAAAAGAGAACTATAGACTGATCTCCCTAATGAACACAGATGCAAAAATCCTCAATAAAATATTGGCAAATAGGATCCAGCAAATCATCAAGAAGATTATACACCATGACCAAGTGGGATTCATCCCAGGAATGCAAGGATGGTTCAACATACGCAAATCAATAAATGTAATCCACCATATCAATAAAGCCAAAAATAAGAATCACATGATCATTTCTATAGATGCAGAAAAAGCCTTCGATAAGGTCCAACATTTATTCATGATAAAAACTCTACAGAAAATTGGAATAGATGGTCTTTACCTCAATATAATAAAGGCCATTTATGACAAACCAACAGCCAGCATCATTCTAAATGGCCAAAAATTGAAAGCCTTTACTTTAAAATCAGGCACAAGACAAGGATGTCCTTTATCACCACTCCTATTTAATATAGTACTGGAAGTACTAGCCAGAGCAATTAGGCAAGAAAGAGAAATAAAAGGGGTAAAGATAGGAAAAGAAGAAGTTAAGTTATCATTGTTTGCAGATGACATGATACTCTACATAGAAAACCCCCTAAACTTCATTGAAATACTCTTAGATACAATAAATAAATTCAGTAATGTGGCTGGATACAAAATCAATACTCAGAAATCAATAGCATTCCTATACACGAACAACAAAATTACAGAGAGGGAAATAAGAGAAACTGGACTATTCACATTAGCAAGCAAAAAAATGAAATATTTAGGAATTACTCTTACGAAAGAAGTGAAAGACTTATACAGTGAAAACTATAATACACTGAAAAAGGAAATTGAAGATGATCTCAGAAAATGGAAAGACATCCCTTGCTCATGGATAGGAAGAACAAACATTGTGAAGATGGCCATTCTCCCAAAACTCTTATACAGATTCAATGCAATCCCAATAGAAATACCATCAACATACCTTATAGATCTAGAGAAATCACTCCTAAATTTCATCTGGAACCAGAAGAGACCTAGAATCGCAAAGGCAATTCTAAGCAGCAAAGGCAAAGCAGGAGGCATCACAATCCCTGACTTGAAATTATACTACAAAGCAACAGTAGTAAAATCAACATGGTATTGGAATCAAAACAGAGGCGAAGATCAATGGAATAGATTAGAAGATACAACCACAACTACAAACACACTCAACCACCTTATCTTTGATAAAGGAGCCAAGCAGGTTCACTGGAAGAACGACAGTCTCTTTAATAAATGGTGATGGAAAAACTGGCTCTCCATTTGCTGAAAACTAAAGATAGACCCATGTCTATCACCATGTACTAAATTAAAATCTAAATGGGTCAAAGATCTGAACATTAAAACAGAAACACTAAATCTATTGGAAGACAAAGTGGGTAGAAACCTTGGAGACATAGGAGTAGGTAGAGAATTCATGAACAGGACTCAAACCGCACGGGAAACACTTCCCAGAATCAATAACTGGGACCACATCTTATTAAAAAGTTTCTGCATGTCAAAAGAAATCTCCAGCATAGTGAAAAGAAAACCCACAAACTGGGAAAAGATTTTAGTGAACTCTCTCTCAGACAAGGGACTCTTGTCTAAAACATATAAAGAATTAAAAAAACTCAGACCTCCAAAATTCAAAGATCCAATCCAAAAATGGGCATCTGAGATGAATACGCAATTCTCAGATGAAGAAATGCAAATGGCAAATAAATATATGAAAACATGCTCATCATCATTGGTCATCAGAGAAATGCAAATTAAAACCACACTGAGATTCCATCTCACTCCTGAAAGAATGGCCAGGATCAAGAAAACCAACAACAACAAATGCTGGAGAGGATGTGGGGAAAAAGGAACTCTCCTGCCCTGCTGGTGGGAGTGTAGACTGGTACAGCCTTTGTGGAGGTCTGTCTGGAGGTTTCTCAAAAAGTTGGGATTGGAAATCCCATTTATTCCAGCTATTCCACTTCTAGGCATATTCCCAGAAGAACTGAAAGCATCATACCACAGTGATTTATGTGCACCTATGTTTATAGCAGCACAATTTGTAATTGCCAGATCTTGGAAACAACCCAAGTGTCCATCAACTGAGGAATGGATAAAAAAGTTGTGGTATTTCTATACAATGGAATATTATTCAGCTATAAAGAAGGATCACATTGAGATATTTATCAATAAATGGGCGCAGCTTGAGACCATACTCATAAGTGAAATAAATCAATCTCACATGTATGAATACCGAATAGTTTCCCTAATGTAAGTAATGATTCAAATATATGAAAATATGTGGCAATCATGATTCCCCATTATGTGGACTTGAAGCCTTATAAAATTTTCACTTATTAATTAGAAAGGCTTTATTCCAGGCTTCTTGATATGGAAATATTTGAAGCTATAGTATATGAAGTTTTATCCAAATATCTCAAGGAAAAAGACAGACACTATGGTAACTATTATTCTTTAAAAAAATTATTTAGTTATTTCTTATGTTTATTTTAATTAAGGGAAAAATTTAAAAAATTAGGATATATAATAGTAACTCTTTTCGATTTCCTATTAACTTGTTTTGAAGTCCTGTAATGCTCCCACGATCTTGTTTTGACTGATTAGACTCCGTTCCATTCTGTGGGATAGTATCAGGTCCGAGGGTATAGGCAACTACTTTGAAGGCAGTAAGATTCACTAAGATGCCCATTCTGGTTTGACTATTGTCTCCTTTGGAAGTCCTGTAATGTTTACAATGTCTAAGTTTTATTGGTCTTGTTCTCTACTGTTTTGTCCAACTTTATAATATCTAATGAGATAGACAAATCTTTTTAAGGAAACAAGAGACAACGTTGATAACTATTGTTAATAACCGTATACTCTGTTCTACATCATGTGCTAAGTCTATCCTTGGTTTTCACTGACAGCTTTGTTCTGCCATATTTGACTTTATTCTCCCCCCCCCCAAAAAGTAATAGGAACTAAGGAGTAATAAAATCTAAAATGTGTAAATTTTGTTGTAAAAAGAGAGGAAGGGGAAAAAAGAGCTCTAACGGATATAACAGCAAGTGTGTATAGGGATGTTGAATAGCTGACTATATTAATGTTTTTGGATCATTGAACACAGCTGTTTGTAGTCTCTCTGTTTGAATGTCTACTTTGTATTCTTTGATACTGTGATTTGAGCAACTATTTCCAAGATGATAATATGTAATCTATTAACAGGTGATTTCTTACTGTTATGCTTTTTTTTGTAGTTCTGTTTTATATGTAACCTTACACTGCTTTGTTTTGTTTTGTGTTTTTCTCTTTTTCCTCTTAAATAAAAAAAAACTGTATGCTAAACAAACCCATTTTAATACATTATCAACCATTTTAATACATTATCAACCAAAATGATCCATTTTAAATACAGCATCCAAGTATCTTTTTAGTAATTTAAAGCAGACTAAGATGTGTTCCAAGCCAAAAACCACAGTATTCCTCCTGGTAACATATTACCTACACATAATTCTTTGCTGGGTGAAATTTCTCTCCTCGTAATTCATGGTAGCCATTTCCTGATGATGCCTCATGTTTGTGTTTGTTACAACAAAGTACAAAATCTGCTAAAATGTTCCTACTTAGGGAACTTTTATATCAGCAATGATGGGTTCATGAAGAGATGCAGTTACATTAGATGTTATGAGGAAGATTTGCCAAGTAGAAATGTGAGGGGACTGGGGTGTTAGAAGGTAGGAAAGGATAGTACCAGCAAAGAGGTGATCATTTAGGTGGAAACCAAGGACAAGAGTACATATCTATTCTTAGATAAACTCCCAGATATTGTGTGTAGACCCTGTATCTTTAATGGTGCCTGTGGAGAAATGAAGGCGGGAGGGACAGAAGAAGAAGGTGGACTCTAAATTGGTGCCTCTTATAGCTTGTTGATGATTCTTTCTGAACACAGGTTCAAGCCAAAACACTACTTAAAGTGCGAGCCATTAGTGAGACTGGGCAGATCTCTTTGCCTGGAAGAGCCTAGTGATTTCCAAGGGGTTGGAAAATAGCTGGTAAGGGAGGAAGGTCGTGGGGATGGGCCATGAGAGAGAGGTACTTCAGTGAGACTTCTACGAGCAACTGGGAAAGGGTGGCAGGAGACCAGCATATCCCACACAGTAAAGGCCTTTTAGATGAGGGCATCAAGGATCAAAGATGTGCCTATGCATGGTATACTCCTGGCCTAACTTCTGATAAGTGGTTGGGAATGGCAGGCAGGCACAGAGTGCCATCATTTTTGCCTACTGTTTAAGCCACTCCTTTATCTCAGGCCAGGTGCCCGAGGTGAAAGGGACCCAGAGTCCTCTCTGGTCTGCTTTAGGAGGCAGTGCCTGGGGGCTGCTGTCCTCTTCAAGGACAAATAATCTTATCTAGATCCCCTTTGAGGAGGCCAGGTAAGTCCTCTCCCCAAGACCATGACACTTGGAACCAAAAGGAAGGGGGAAGATATTATTATGTCTGCAAACATAGAAGGAATGTCTTGACTTCCCCATCCACTGAGTCAGCCTACTAAACAGGCAATCCAAAGAATCCTGGTACTCAGATCAGTCCTTGATGTTGAGTGTTCTCTGGAAGCCTACATACTCTCTAGTGTTCAAGGGGCAAACCCTGGGGTGTTTGGGACCTGGTGGATGCATCGGAGCAAGGTTCCTGCACAGTCATATGTCATATGACCAGATTTTCCCTATCTGATACTTCCCACCTGCAGTCTCAGACTCTGCCTTTGCTCAGTTTAGTAGACTCGACCACAATCCTTGCTGCTCTGCCCCTGTGAGAGCCTCACCTTGGCCGTGGAAAATGAGTAGCAGGATCCCACAGGACACAGTGTACAGTTGCGCATGAAATTGGTCCAGCCCCATGGCCATGGTCTGCTCTTTCTGCTCTGCTGCCAGCACTCTGTGTTTTAGCACAGGCAGCTCAGCAGCAAGTCCTCCCCCATGCTGGAATTTGGACCTAGGCAGGCCCTGGGTGGGGCCCAAAAACAAGTGAATGGTGCAGGAGAGCCACAGTGAGCAGGCAGAGGTCACTGACAGCCAGTGGCCAGCAGTTGGAGCCTGGCTATCTTTCTTTTTGGCTTCCTCTCAATGCATGAGTGATTTCTGCAGTTCCTGAGGGATAGCAGGAGCCCTCTTCTCAAGCCTGGAATCTTTGTGTCCACTGTCCTTATAGTCACAGACCTGGTGAGGTATTGGGGGAAGAGAGGAGGGAGCAGGAAGCTGTAATCAGAGGACCTGGGGGGACTTCTCTGAGGAGGTGCAGGAGAAGATCCAGACAGGAGCTGCAGAAAGACCTTTGATCATGCTAAAGGGAACACTTTGAACAAAGGCTATGAGGTGTGACTGTACCCTTTCTCTTGAAAGTTCCTCCTTCCCTTTCATAGTTGACTGAGTCTTCTTCAAGGTCCTTAGTCCCTATATAGTACTGGTGTGAGGGTCTCCACAAACTCTTTCCTACTCTGTCATGGCTGCCTTATTGGAGCACAGTGGAGACTGTGGCACTTCATAGAGACCTAGACCCTTGTGTCAGTCAGTATTTTACTGGAGAAACAGATATACCACAAGATATACATATAACATATAAGAAATTATAAGATTGGCTTACAATGGGCATCCAGGGTTGGATGAGGAAGAGTGTAAAGGGTGCCTGTACATTGGAGACTGAAGATTTGGTCCAAGGTCTGGAGCTCACTACAGAGTCCCATCCAAGTCCACATCAGGAGGCCAATGGACCTGCAGTAGAAGACTGAAGAGTCCATGCCAGAAAGCTGAAGGATCCAAGGTGGAAGATGAACAGTCTGTGCTCAAGAGATAACATCCAAGCTGGAGATGATGAGTAGAGCTCCAAAGAACAGAATCAGAGCTATCCTTCATTTTCCCTTTATACCATACAGGTGACAAGATGCCTAGAATCTTCTACACTCTAAGAAGCAGAATTGTTGAGCCAATCAAGTTAAGCTTCTAAACATCTCAAGTTGATATAGTCAATCAAACATTATACCTCTACTCATGCTACTCCTGCCCTGTGGCCCACTTCGGTAAACACGGAGTTACAATACTTAATCCACTTGACAAACATTTAACAGTACCTGCTTGTTCCAAAGCTGAGGACATAGCAAGTTTCTCCCGGGCCTATGGTACTACTGGGAAGATAGGCCCAAATCTGAGAGGTTCAAAAAAGAAAAGAAAAGAGAATTTTTCTAGGTTGGAGTGAAGACAGTAGTATCAGTTCAGTTCATCTGCTTTCCAGTGAAAGTGTTTTGGTCTCAGCCTCAGGAAAGCTCTAATGCCTCACTGATTTTTTTTTTTATTTAAGAGGAAAAAGAGAAAAACACAAAACAAAACAAAGCAGTGTAAGGTTACACATAATACAGAACTACAAAATAAAACATAACAGTAAGAAATCACCTGTTAATAGATTACATATTATCATCTTGGAAATAGTTGCTCAAATCACAGTATCAAAGAATACAAAGTAGACATTCAAACAGAGAGACTGCAAACAGCTGTGTTCAATGATCCAAAAACATTAATGTAGTCAGCTATTTAACACCCCTAAACACACTTGCTGTTATATCCGTTAGAGCTCTTTTTTTTTTTTCCTCCCTCTCTTTTTTACAACAAAATTTACACATTTTGGATTTTATTACTCCTTAGTTCTTATTACTTTTTTTGGGGGGGAGAGAATAAAGTCAAATATGGCAAAACAAAGCTGTCAGTCAAAACCAAGGATAGACATAGCACATGATGTAGAACAGAGTACAAGGTTATTAACAATGGTTATCAACATTGTCTCTTGTTTCCTTAAAAGGAATTGTCTATCTCATTAGATATTATAAAGTTGGACAAAACAGTGGAGAACAAGACCAATAAAACTTAGGCATTGTGAACATTACAGGACTTCCAAAGGAGACAATAGTCAAACCAGAATGGGCATCTTTGTGAATCTTATTGCCTTCAAATTAGTTGCCTATACCCTCAGACTTGCTACTATCGCACAGAATGGAACAGAGTCTAATCAGTCAAAACCAGATCTTGGGAGTATTACAGGACTTCAAAACAAGTTAATAGGAGATCGAAAAGAGTTACTATTATATATCCTAATTTTTTAAATTTTTCCCTTAATTAAAATAAACATAAGAAATAGCTAAATAATTTTTTTAAAGAATAGTAGTTACCATAGTGTCTGTCTTTTTCCTTAAAATATTTGGATAAAACTTCATATACTATAGCTTCAAATATTTCCATATCAAAAAGCCCAGAATAAAGCCTTTCTAATTAATAAGTGAAAATTTTATAAGGCTTCAAGGCCACATAATGGGGAATCATGAATATCACATATTTTTATATATTTGAATCATTACTTACATTAGGGAAACTATTCGGTATTCATACATGCGAGATTGATTTATTTCACTTATGAGTATGGTCTCAAGCTGCGCCCATTTATTGATAAATATCTCAATGCGATCCTTCTTTATAGCTGAATAATACTCCATTGTATAGAAATACCACAACTTTTTTATCCATTCCTCAGTTGATGGACACTTGGGTTGTTTCCAAGATCTGGCGATTACAAATTGTGCTGCTATAAACATAGGTGCACATATATCCCTGTGGTATGATGCTTTCAGTTCTTCTGGGAATATGCCTAGAAGTGGAATAGCTGGAATAAATGGGATTTCCTTTTTCCTTTTCCTTTTTATCGGTACCAGGGATCGAACTCACAACTGCCTGCTTGCAAGTCAGGCGCTTATGCCGCTGAGCTAAATCCCCAGCCCCTATAAATGGGATTTCCAATCCCAACTTTTTGAGAAACCTCCAGACAGACCTCCACAAAGGCTGTACCAGTCTCCACTCCCACCAACAGTGCAGGAGAGTTCCTTTTTTCCCACAGCATCTCCAGCATTTGTTGTTGTTGGTTTTCTTGATCCTGGCCATTCTTTCAGGAGTGAGATGGTATCTCAGTGTGGTTTTAATTTGCATTTCTCTAATGACCAATGATGATGAGCATTTTTTCATGTATTTATCTGCCATTTGCATTTCTTCATCTGAGAATTGCGTATTCATCTCAGATGCCCATTTTTGGATTGGATCTTTGAATTTTGGAGGTCTGAGTTTTTTTAAATTCTTTATATGTTTTAGACAAGAGTCCCTTGTCTGAGAGAGAGTTCACTAAAATCTTTTCCCAGTTTGTGGGTTTTCTTTTCACTATGCTGGAGATTTCTTTTGACATGCAAAAACTTTTTAATAAGAAGTGGTCCCAGTTATTGATTCTGGGAAGTATTTCCCGTGCAGTTTGAGTCCTATTCATGAATTCTCTACCTACTCCTATGTCTCCGAGGTTTCTACCCAATTTGTCTTCCAATAGATTTAGCGTTTCTGTTTTAATATTCAGATCTTTGACCCATTTAGATTTTAATTTAGTACATGGTGATAGACATGGGTCTATCTTTAGTTTTCGGCAAATGGAGAGCCAGTTTTTCCATCACCATTTATTAAAGAGACTGTCGTTCTTCCAGTGAACCTGCTTGGCTCCTTTATCAGAGATAAGGTGGTTGAGTGTGTTTGTAGTTGTGGTTGTATCTTCTAATCTATTCCATTGATCTTCAGCTCTGTTTTGATTCCAATACCATGTTGATTTTACTACTGTTGCTTTGTAGTATAATTTCAAGTCAGGGATTGTGATGCCTCCTGCTTTGTCTTTGCTGCTTAGAATTGCTTTTGCGATTCTAGGTCTCTTCTGGTTCCAGATGAAATTTAGGAGTGATTTCTCTAGATCTATAAGGTATGTTGATGGTATTTCTATTGGGATTGCATTGAATCTGTATAAGAGTTTTGGGAGAATGGCCATCTTCACAATGTTTGTTCTTCCTATCCATGAGCAAGGGATGTCTTTCCATTTTCTGAGATCATCTTCAATTTCCTTTTTCAGTGTATTATAGTTTTCACTGTATAAGTCTTTCACTTCTTTCATAAGAGTAATTCCTAAATATTTCATTTTTTTTGCTTGCTAATGTGAATAGTCCAGTTTCCTTATTTCCCTCTCTGTGGTTTTGTTGTTTGTGTATAGGAATGCTATTGATTTCTGAGTATTGATTTTGTATCCAGCCACATTACTGAATTTATTTATTGTATCTAAGAGTCTTTCAATGGAGCTTAGGGGGTCTTCTATGTAGAGTATCATGTCATCTGCAAACAATGACAACTTAATTTCTTCTTTTCCTATCTTTACTCCTTTTATTTCTCTTTCTTGCCTAATTGCTCTGGCTAGTACTTCCAGTACTATATTAAATAGGAATGGTGATAAAGGACATCCTTGTCTTGTGCCTGATTTTAAAGTAAAGGCTTTCAATTTTTGGCCATTTAGTATGATGCTGGCTGTTGGTTTGTCATAAATGGCCTTTATTATATTGAGGTAAAGACCATCTATTCCAATTTTCTGTAGAGTTTTTATCATGAATAAATGTTGGACCTTATCGAAGGCTTTTTCTGCATCTATAGAAATGATCATGTGATTCTTATTTTTGGCTTTATTGATATGGTGTATTACATTTATTGATTTGCGTATGTTGAACCATCCTTGCATTCCTGGGATGAATCCCACTTGGTCATGGTGTATAATCTTCTTGATGATTTGCTGGATCCTATTTGCCAATATTTTATTGAGGATTTTTGCATCTGTGTTCATTAGGGAGATCGGTCTATAGTTCTCTTTTTTAATTGGGTCTTTCTCAGGTTTTGGTACTAGAGTGATATTTGCTTCCAGGAATGACTTAGGAAGGATTGCTTCCTTTTCAATTTCATTGAATAGTTTGAGGAGTGTCGGCATTAGGTCTTCTTTGTATTTCTTGTAGAATTCTGCAGTGAATCCATTTGGGCCTGGGCTCTTCTTGGTGGGTAAGGACTTAATTACATTTTCAATTTCAGTAACCGAGATTGGGTTATTCAACAATT